CTCCTGTCTAGAACATTCTGTACTCGAACATTCTGTTCTAGAATTAACCACGGCCTTATCAAATTTTCTAGAAGCATCGTCTTAGGAATAAATAAAGACATCTGCCGGTCCCAGGATTCAAACCCGGGACCTCTGCATGACAGTCGGGCGCGGTGCCCCCTGGGCTACCCCTAAGCACGCAGTAATATGCAGTCTACTTTTCCAGCATTCATCCACTGGTTGCATCCCACCCGAGTGGAAGGTTGGGAAGGTCGTTCCAATCTACAAAAGTGGCGATCGTCACTCTGCGGGAAGCTACCGTCTCGTATCATTAAAGGGACCATGAAATGATTTTAAAATCGAATTTCATCCACCGCACGTTGTAAAAGGTGTAAAAAGGAACACAAAAACACAAGACTAGGGAGCCCAAAAAAATTATTTGCTATAGAACTTTTAAAAGAAAACTGGACTCTTTTGCGACTTCTTTCCTTCGAAAGCTCTGCCTTTTCACTACGATGCATACGCAGAAACGGTGCACGTCAGCCGAATCCACATCGCCTATTGGGTAAGAGCCTACCTCACCAGCACCGCGATCGTAAACAATAAATAGCCGGCGAATGTTTCCTAAAAGTTTTGTTAAATAATATTCAGATCCACATTTTGTAGCCTAATTAGAGATGTGTGGCGAAAATTGCCAAATTTGATAATGCTGAGAGCCAAGCGCCATCTATCGTGTGGTAAACGAAGCAACTACTGCGCGTGCGCAGTAGGGCAGGGCCAAGTTCAGAACGGTTATTTTCTTTGGTTTCCTTCCTCTCAAAACTCTGACTGACTGAACGTTTATTTTTCTACGTGTTCATCTCGCGCGTGCCGACTTCAAGCAGCAAGAAAGAAATGTACTTAAAACAAACCACGACGAACAAGAACGCTGGATCCACAAACACCCGAGAAGAGCGACAACAGCCGCGAATCCCGCTCCGATGAAACTCTCGGAATATAGGCCTAGCAGGCACTCCGACTCGGCGCAGCGTTGCTTCGTCGCAAGACCGTCTGCCTACGACCGGCTGGCGTACTGAATGGAATATGCCCGCGCTACCCTTGTGGACCCTTCCGTATTATAGTTTGATCGCTGACCTCAATTTTAGGTTAAGAGGTGAGGTCAATCTCTTCCCCTTGTTTTCCGAGGCAGTGTTGACGAACACTCGTCGAAAAGGGACCCTCGTCGATCCTCTCCTTGTTTTGTGTGATATAGAGCTGAAATAAACGCTGTATGGATTACCTTCGTAGCACGGTATGTACACTTTGTTATTGGTATGCCATTTTTATTCTGACAGACTGCACGTCACTGTCGAGCTGTAACAGTTCGTGGGAGGTATACGTGCAATACCGGTCCAACCTTTCTTTGCCGAGTGTCGCGTCAGTATCGAGTTGCAATTGTAAAAGATCGGTCCCGAAGCGCTTACCAACAGCGCGAATACAGCACTTCATCAAACGCGCGCGTCCGCTCCGAGTGTGAACAGGTATTTACGTGGCTCTTGCTGACAGTTCAAACGTATCTTTTTTAACGTCGGCTCGCTCCTGCATCTCCGAGACCGCGAAAAACGCCGCGGCAAATTGTTCCCATCTGCACTTCCCAACAGGCATACCGGCGTATGGGACTAGTCCCATGCTGTCGCTGTAGCGCAACGTATCTCATTGAATTTCGCTCAGCTGCGATGCGGCGATGAGAGGCGCCGATTCAGAAAATACGTCGGTGACATCGACGCAGTAAAACCCACCGGCGCACCCCAACTCGCTAACGCTCCTATCTCCTACTGCAGAGAGAACTTCCGGTTCCGGAAACATCGTACGTCACGGCTTGTTTTGCGGTCAAGAAAAAGTCGATATTTCATTAATTTTTTGTGTAGAAGTTAACAAACCGAGACGAAAACGGATGCCTGTTCGGCATTCAGTGAACATTGACGGTTTATTGTAAAAGTTATCTGGAAAAAGTAAAAAAGTCATTTCATGGTCCCTTTAACCAGCGTTGTATGCAAGTTGTTAGAACTCAAAATATTTTCTCATGTAGTATCGCATCTGGAATCTACTAACAACTTTTTCTACCAAAATCAGTACAGGTTTCGTAAAAGATATTCATGCTAGAGGCAGTTGCTGGAGTTCACCCGTGATATTCATGTTAATATGAACACTAACTCCCAAGTATGATGCCATATTTTTTATTACTCTAAGGCTTTCGATCATGTATCTCACTGTCATTTAATATCAAAACTTTCCTCACTAAATCTTGATTCTCTCACTTTATCATGGATTCGAAATTTTCTTCGTGAAAAACAGCACGAAAGGGAAAAGGACAAAAAGGAAGGACTACATAGGATAAGTGCTTACTAACAACTGATTTTTCATTGGAGTGTGTAGATGGCACTATGTTCGCTCGGGTATAAGGCGCACCGTGGATTTTGCACTTCCTTCTTCTTCATTGCACACTCCACATGCTAGCCAAGATTCAGAAAATGAATCTCACTGTTCGTTGGAGCCAGTGAAGGTTGGCTTACTCAAGATGGTCTGTTTTTTATTATGTAATAGGTTTCCTTCATTATGTAATAGGTTTCCTGCAGTTTGCACCGCAATCTCGACAGTGTACCGCTAAATGCTAGTATGCGGTCCCTTGCAATGAGCTTTGGTGTTCTCAGAGTCCGATGTTCAGGCGTCGCCTGGTCACCCAGGTATCCTGGTCAGCAGATAAAAATCAGAAACATTAAAAGATATATTTTTGTAATTATTGGAACTTTAAATATTCTTAAGTGTTTTCTGTATGCCCAGTAACCTATGGGGGTATCATGTAATGAATACTCTAACTTGCCTAATTTCTGTGTCCTGGCCCCTTTCAAGTGATTTCATTTGGGTTTACAGCTTTCTTGAATCACACTGGCACCTGCAGTGCACTTACGTGCAACTCATAGTTTGCAGGTATCGGGTGGTTTAGTTTGTCATTGCATTCTGTCCAGAACCTAACCACATTCCACATTTTTTTGTTTTTCTTTGTTTCGAGGTTCTATAGTTATTCATATAGAGACTTGATTGCTGTGCAGGTTACGAACATTGCCTTCCACTTGAAAGCTGGACGTAACCCAGTAATTATTTTTCAAGAATAGATACGAACATGTTTTACTCAGTGCTGCATCTTGTGTGCACTTGCTTGCAATTTCTTACTAACACAGTGTTCGAACACCTATCTCTGGGAGGTGCACTTGGCAGTAACCTCTGAAATTAACTTGTGACAGCAGGCTTGAAGAAACTCATTGAATGTGGAAATTTCATTTTGAAAGGTATTTTTCGAACTTGCCTTGTTAAAATGGTTTCATAGCATAAGTCACACGTTGGTTTCACTGATTAGTGCCTGCCAGAATGAATCTGAGTTACCTGCACTGCGCTTATGTATAACTCATAGTTTGCAGAAATCGGGAGGTTTAGTTTGTCATTGCATTCTGTTCAGAATCTAATCACATTCCACTTATTTTTTTTCCAGGTTCTGTAGTTTTCCGTATGGACTTGATTGCTCTGAAAATCAGAGATTGCCTTGTACATGAAAGCTGGACATGGCCCACTAATTATTTCTCAAGAATAAAGGTATGAACAGGTTTTACTCCGTACTGCATCTTATGTGCGCTTGCTTGAAATTTCTTGCTACCACAGTGTGTAATTATCTCTTGAGAGACACAGTTGGCAGTAACTTCTGAAAGTAACTCGTGACAGCATGCTTGCAGAAACTCATTGATTGCAGCAATTTTGTCTTCGAAGGCATTTTCGGACTTCCTTCGTTAATTCGTAGTATAGGTCTCAAGTTGGTTTTGCTGTCTAGTTCCCGCGAGAGTTAAGCTGAGGCTCTTGCAATGCGCTCACGTCTAACTCATAGTTTGCAGAAATTGGGAAATTTATTCTGTCATCGCACTCTGTTGATAATCTAATCACATTCCATATTTTCTGTTTTGCTTTTCCAGGATCTGTAGTTCTTCATATGGACTTTATTGCTCTGAAAATCAGAGATTGCTTTGTACATGAAAGATGGAAATGGCCCACTAATTATTTCTTGAGAAAAAAAGGTATGAACATGTTTTACCTAATACTGTATCTTGTGTGCACTTGCTTCAAATTTCTAACAGTGTTTAAGCACCTGCTAACCGCTGGGATGCGCAGCTGGCGTTAACTCCTGAAAGTAACTTGGGCCCACAACCTAATCAGATTTTATGGTCGCTAGATATTTACTTTGAATTGTTCCCGCATCAAAAATTAGTTGGTGTGTTGTCCGTAACTTGCGGCGGCAAAAAGCTGCAACTCTCAATCACTGAGCTGCACGTCATGCGTGACAACGGGAATCATTCAGACATTAAAAATTAGCTGCCGTGTTGTCCATACCTTGCAGTAACGGCTAGAGCCTGTTGAACTGCTAGCTGCAATGATCTAATAAAACGGACGTCTCAGTGAACAATAATTACATTAGTAAAATGCTATATTTATTGTTCACTGAGACGTCCATTTTGTTAAGTCACTGCAGCTAGCAGTTTAACAAGCTCTGGCCGTTGCTTCAAGGTGCGAACAACACGCCAGCTAATTTAAACGATTCCCGTCGTCGTGCGTCACGTGCAACTCTGTGATTGAGAGTTGCGGTTTTTTGCCGTCGCAAGTTACGGACAACATGGCAGCTAATTTTTGATTCCGGAACAATACCCGTATCCGTGCATCTTGTGCAGTACAGTGACTGAGAGTTACAGTTTTCTGCCATGCTTCTACCCAGGTCAAGTTACGGGGAAAACCGTGGGGCCTCATTACTGTCATGCACGTAATAGATAGTTAATGCTGTGACCGTGATGGAAGACAACACTAATTGTATCGGCATCAAAAATTAGCTGGCAATTTTTATTAATTTGACGGAATTTGTTTTTACAGTGAATGTACTTTTTGTCAGGATCTGATGAGCTTGGATTGTGTCTAACTCTGGACCGGGAATCTCCGACGAGTCCAGCGTGTAATCCACGGCGAAAGGCCCTGTACAGCGCTATTTGTAAGTGCTTTTTATTCTAATAGTCCGTGAGAGACGTTATGATTGGTTATTTTTGTGTTCGAAGTCGTGTTTATTTCATTTTCGCTGTTAAAATATGGCTGTCTTCTTGGCGGTAGATGTGTGCTGTAGTAAAGTCCTCCCAGTAGGTCCAAAGCCGAGTGCCGCAGAGTGTTGAGTTAGTCCTTATTTGCCAAGATTCGGCTTGTTGGGTGCGAGTGGAGTGTCAGTTACGTCACTGCGATGTGTGAATGTATTTGCCAGGAATTATCTTTACCCAACGAGTTTTTTTGTTATCTGACTGATTTATTTTAAATTCTTGATTCATTCAAATGTCATGTTCTGTTCAACTGTCATGTTCTTTCGTATAACAGGGTATTTATTGGACTGTTAATTTAGTAGTACATTTGACACTGGTTAGCTGAAGAGGGAGGCTAGCGGTTTGATTTTTAACTTGTAAATAATATGGAGGTAATATGGGTACATTTATGACTACATATTTCTGTGCCGCAAATACCGTAAGTCTTAAAACATTCTTTTTTTGTTTTCAAATCAACGTAGAAATATAGGTGTGAACTTAAATGGCAAGTTTGTAATTATCAGTTCTTAAAAACACCTGAAAAAAAAATGTTTTTTTTTAAAGTCTTGTTGGGGCACGCGTGTCAAAGAAAATTGAAGCAAAAAAACATTTTATTTTACAGAAATATTGATGGCGCGAGGTGCCTTGCAATTAAGTCAGTAGTCACCTCCTTTCAACTGCTTTTCTCTTGGCATTCGGGCGTGTGGAGGAAAGGTGGATCGGCTTCACCTTCACGTTGAGGTGGAAAGAACGAATGACCATCTCGTTGAGGTGGAAAGAGCAAATGACCATTCTGTCATGTCATGGACTTTGCCCGCATAATTTGAAATCAATCTTTTGCCGTCAATATTGCTCTGAACATTTTTTTTTCCGCATAAAATTCTTTTGACACGCGCGTCCCAACCAAACTGCTTAAAATAAATTTTTTTAGAGGCCCTTTAAAGCTAGCTGAAGGGTTGAGAGTCACTATGATGTTGCAAGAGTAGGCCTAAGCAATTTATAAATTCACCTTCCTACTATTTGAAAAAAAGAAAAAAAGAGCTCTAAATTTGACCTTGCAATGCATGTGCCTGCGCCTGCACCTGCATTCAGAGTGGCGCAACCAGTTCATTCACATGCACCAAGAAATTTAGAGCGCACATCTATTGTGCAGCTAGCTGCATGATGAAGTGGCACACATGAACATGCTTGCTATCTAGTAGTGTCGGTTGTGGCGGAGCTTAAGCAGGCCATAATGCATTCTTTGTTTTGACATGTGGCACATTTATCAATTATTTTAACTCTTGCGAATCACAACCTGTGTGTTCTTGGGTTGGGCTGCTTTTATTTATATATATATGTATATATATATTTTTTTTTATAGAATTTGTGCATTTTAGTATGTATAAATGTTTATTTTTTTTTATTAAGGTTAAATGGTACTTTATAGCAAATTTGCTCCTTGTAGAGCTGAAATTACATTTAGTCAATGGTCTCCCCAAACTGAGATGTTATATGCATTTGCTAGCTTTTTTTTTTTGTAAAGGTGTAAAATAAGCTATAGTATACGGCAGCCAGCTCTGAAGCACAATAGATTGTTCAAACTAATTAATCTATAAAAACTTGGACGATTCCACTTGGACAAATCCAGTTGTTAAGAAATTGTATTCATCCTACCCTTCGGGAAAGTCTGTATAAATATAGAGCTATGTCTTTCGCCACTGTGGGCAGAGGCCAGCGAAATTGCTACCGTTTGGAAGGTGGAGGGGTGATGTGCAGGGAAGCTAAGCCCTATCCCTCTCTCCCATATTGTCTGCTATAATTGTTTCAAATATAAAAAAAAAGGGGGGGGGGCAACTGCCCCCTCCCCTTGCACCCTTGTCCCGATGCCACTGTCAGGGGGTAATAACTTGGGGATGCCATAAATAAATGCAACCACTTACGGCTGCCATTGCATACAAAGGAGAAAATAGAGAGAGAGGGAGAGCGATGTGGATTATCTTTCTCTTAGGTATTTATGTCAGAAGGGGTACTAATGATTTTGGATGGTTGTGGCTGAGCGAGATAGCCATGAGTGCTGCCTAAGTGTTTGGTTCGGACTCTTGTTCAATCGGCAAAAAAGCAAGTCTCAGTCAACTATTCAAGTATATCCTATGAATGGCTCCTGGGATTTTCGAAAATGGTCTATTATCTTGCAAATGAGTGTGCTGGTATTAACTAAGGACACTTAGCAAGCTGTTTACTCATTTTTAATATTGCTGACTTTACATTAAAGCTGGTGAACTTTCAGCTTTCTGCAATGCATAGTTTTTTTATTAGGTCCAAAAAAGTTGGGTATATCTTTCTTGATTGGATTCTGCATTATTGTGATCATTCAGCTGTGTTGAATGAAACATATGGGTTTCTTATCCGAGATTTGATATTTATTTTTATGCAGTCGGGGGGTGGTGGTCATTGCCTTGATTTCATAGTGTTCTGGCATAGAATTTTAGGAATTATTGCCATATAAGAATACACTTTCCATCAGAAAACTAAGCAACCTCATTCTTTGCAGCTCCTGCCATGGAGGTGGTAAAGAGCCTGGCAGCCCTGCTGAAGGATTCAACAGCTTCTCTCATTGAGAAGGTATGGTATTCCATTCTGATATAATTTCTAACCTCTTAAACGAAGTGAAAACTGGCTCACATATCAATTTCAGTATGCATGGTAACTCAGAACCCTGCTCGCAGGTACCTGTGAAGCAAAAGCAGCCAGGGAGGCTGTTCTAAGAGCAGCCTCTCTGGCATCTCGTAGAAAAAAAGAAACCTGCAGTTTAACAGAGATTCATCATCACCAACTCGAAGAACACACAAAAAGCATCGAAAGAAATCAGAAGAGTAGCTTTAAAAAATATGAAGTTGTTTAAAAACTTGGTTTGCCAAAAAAATTTAAAAATATTATAATGTGGCTAAATATGGTGAAGGAGATGTTCAAACACTTGTTCTGCACCTGTTGCTGGGCTGACAGGCAGTATTGGTCTTATACCTTCAGCCTCTATAAGAGATGCTCTAATAAAGCAACAAGCAACAGTGTTTTATATAGGCATGTATTACCTCAGCAGACTCCGAGCATACCGAGATACATACAATAAAATGCAAATAAGCCTGTCGTTCTTATTTGGTAATTCTGGCAATTTATAAAGACAATGTGGTGTGAAGTGGGGAAAGAAAGTTTAGGCTTCAATCTTTGAGCTAGTTGAAAGGCCAAAATTATAGCAAAAGGCAGGATATGGTGTTGTTGCTCTTATTGTGTGCTGGTGTAACATGAACAAATATTTTCATCTACAAATTGTCACTTTACTGAAGTGTCCCTTTAATGGTGTGCTACTTGATGTGCTATTTGCATTGTGTTGTATTTTTTTGGGCCCACGAGGGGGCCACATAAATTGCCGCGCATGATGTGGTGGCCGAGTGGGCACCACTCCTGGGTGTCATGCAGGGGTCCTGGGTTTGAATCCGGGGACCACTGCAGTTGCTTAATTACTCGAAAAACCCGTGGTTCTAGAAATTTGCTCACAGTGCTCAATGCTCAATGCCTTGTGTTGTAATGGTCTCATATATTGAACCGCCTCTACAGAGGTCAGGGAATTTCACCTGAAATTGTCAGGGAAAATCTGGAAAAGTTGGGGAATTTCAAAATAATAATTCGCTAGACACCCTGAAATTGCTGTAATTACCCCGAGGAGACTGAGTAGACTTTCTTTGGTAATTATCTTCCTTTCAAATACTACAAATTGCCCATGTTTCTTCTTCACAGGAGGAGGATCATGTCCAGCCAGCCTTCCCTGTGATGCAAGTCAGGGGAGGGGCCTCAAGTTCACCACTCACAGTGGTGCTGTAGGACTGCTCTTTCGAGGTAACGGACATTGTGGCTGGTATTGCGCTCATTCTTGCGCTATACTGGGTCCATGACATTTCCTGCTGTCCAAAAGCATCCTGGTCACTTGCTGTGATTGGCAACTTCATTGGCTTGACCTACAAGACCAAGTCATTCTTGGTACTAGATTTAATTTCAAAACTGGAAGATTGAGATCTTAAATGAGTGTATTTTTTACATGTACATTAAAATCTGTTTTTTTAACGAGCACCGTATTACTGTTTTCACTCGACCTTGTATGAGGGCCTGTATGGGCACCCTCTGAAAAGGCTCAAGCAACACCTTTCGTCCTGTGAGCACATGCAGAATTTTCTTCGGACATTCGCTTCCGTGCATTGCGGAGTGTTGTAGCTGTGAACAAGAAATGCCCATATTCGAGGGAAATAAACACCTTGCTTAAGGGATTCAATGTCTTGGAAGCTCTTTGTTTGCCCTTCTATAGAGTTCAGGCACACTACATGAAAGGGAAAAGATAACACCTAACAGAGTGTACTTTTAGCTCTGACGTAGAGCTTAATTAACACTTCTTATGGAGCTGAAGTTACCCTTTACGAGGGAGTTAAAATAACTCTTGGCATGAAAGTGTAGCCTTGACCACTCATTAGAGTTGTTCTATTTGCACCTAAGAGAGTAGCCACAACATTCGCTTCGAGGGTACGTACAACACCACCTGTAGGAGTCTATGCTACTCTTCAAAAGTGTTAATTTTACACCTCATTTCAAGGAGTAACCGTTACCCTAGAAAAGAGTAACACTAACCCTCGTCAAGAGTAACTCCTGGTTACTCTCAAAAGTGTAAAGTCAACACCTCGTTTTGAAGAGTAATTGTAAGTCTTGTCAAGAGTAACTCCTTGTTACTCTTAAAAGAGTAAAGTCAACACCTTCTTTCGAAGCGTAACCCTAACTCTCAAAAAAGGGTGGATTCTGCGACAAACCATTTACACTCCAAAAAGTGTTAAGATGACGCCTTTTTTTTTTTTAGAGTGTATCTGATTCCTCGCGCCGCGCGTTCTGCCCCGCCGCGTCCTTACCTAAAGAGTGTATCTTACACCGTGCCCTGAACTGACAGCAGTCGTGACGTATTTTTCTGACCATTTTTATTATAGCAAGAGTACGCGTGCATAGCTTTTGAAAGGCGCTGAAGACGCACAAGAGCGGAGATTTCGAAAACTCCTTATATGAAGTCACGCACCCGGAAGGAGGGGCTTGAGCGGTATTTTGATAATAATTTTCTGCAGCCCCGTGCACCAAATTCAAAAATAATTTCGATATTTGTATTCCTGGAACCCAAATGAAGATTGTTTAAGTGTGTTCTCTGATATACAAAACGCGCTTCAGTTTCCCTTTAATGAGACATTAGATTCGTCAGTAGCGTTCGAAATCCCAGTTTGCCCCTACCGCGCGCCTCTGCTGGTACCCCTTTTATACATGGCGTGCGCGCGACTTCATACCGCATTCTACTGGTGGTCATTGCTACTTGTTTTTGCAGAATAAAACAAATTGAATGGTGCTTTTTGTATGCCCCAGAAGACACGCGCTGTGTAGAAAAGCATCCCCAACGGCCGCCAATGTGATGTCGGTGTAAGTAATTTATAGCCGCAGTGACGTGAGGATATTTGGGGTCACCGGCGGGATCCTGGTGTTGTTGGTAATGGCTGTTGGCTTCCATGAAGTTTAGGACCGGCAGCCTCTGTGATTCGCCCGGAGGATTATGTCCTTGCAGCATATCCTTATTTTTATATTAGAAGAAAATAAGGGTGGACACCAGTTGATGCTATTAACTTTGGGTAACGTGGAAAGCCTTATTGCCGTGACTTCAAGAGGGTCTTGTAGGGCGATGGTGTTGCGGACCATCGCAATATGTCTACCATGAATCGAGCTCGGCCTCGTCGGAGTAGACAGATAACAGTGCTCGATTTTGCAACGTGAGCCTTTACACGTCTGCTCCCAGTCGTCATCCTTTATTTTATCTATCATATAATTGTAGTACAGTTAACACAACCACTTAATTATAGACTTCAACTGGTGATAGCATGACAAAGGAAATATACTTCTAAAATACTGGTATACTGGTAAACACAAAGAAACATTTACGACTAAATGGAGATGTCGCTTTCTAGTCTTGGTCTCCTTCTATACAGTCGTCTTTCCATACTTCAGATTCTGTGTTGGGGCAGTTTCGTATGTAGACATCCAGACATTCCAGGGAAGCAGGAGGCCTGGCTTCTTCTTCTTCTACTGAATACAATTCGCAACCTGGAAAACAAATACAAAAAAAGTTGATACATTAAGGGCCGGTTGCACCAACGTCGCTTAGCGCAAAGCGGAGCTTAGCCGGGAACTTAAGCTAAGTTTCGGTTTCGTTCGGTTGCACCAAACTCGCTTATCGCTAAACCTAGCACTAAACTACGCTTAACTTAAGCGCCCAACATTGGGCGCTTTGCTTCTGGTTGTTTCTTAATCCTGGATTAAAAACATGGCGGCTGGTTTGTCACGGTCGACGCGGTGGACGAAATTGGTTGTGCAAAGTGTTTTAGGCTACATCAGCGTGAAAGTCTCGACAAAATGACTTTCGATTGTGACAAGGATGCAAAATATTGTCGTGTGAAGTGTTTATCGACCCCTGTTTTCAAGTTGGTTCTCCACTTTCAGGGCGTGCTAGCCCTAACCGAGAAACGTACGGAGCTGTGGGGCTCACGTCTGTATTCCCGTTGGTTCTTCTGTCAACGAGCTTATTCGTATGTACTTACTTATTTTTGCATAGCTGTAACGTATTGTTATTTACCACCTTGTTTATTTACACTTGCAGCGCGTATCCTTCAATCTGATCAGCGCGTTGAATAGTGGCAGTACATGATCTCGGCGATCAGCTGATTGTCGACACCTCTGCCTTTGCATTAGATTGCGGCGCTTTTAAGTAATAAAACAGCGAAAATTCAATTTCTTTCGTTTTCTGAGTTTTGAGACGATCTTCAGTGAATTTTCCTTATCTCGCGAGTAGAATCTTGGCTCCAGAAAACTGTATCGTTCCATAACTGTAACTTTTTTGGTGATCGCATTTTTTTTTTATATACTTTGCTTCATATCTTTCATTCGTTTCCCGTGAACGAGATACTGTTGTTTCCGAGTTGTGCTCTGTGATGGTGTTTTCCCTTTACTTTTGTCGTTTGTTGTCATTGTGACGATGGTTGAGACTATATACCGGAACACGTTTTCAATAAAATTCAGTTGAAAGTTGCGCCTTGTTGTGTCCTCCGTAACTTTTTTGGTGATCGCGATTTTTTAGGAATATTTTGCTTTATACCTTTCATTCGTGGTGACGACAAATCGTAACGACTACTATGTTAGATTCGTTCATTGCTGTATCGGGGCAGGCTGGGGCAGGGGATGCGAAGAGACGACCGTTCTTATCGGCACGATCTGATGTACTAGTGGGAGTTTTTTTTTTTTTTTTTTTTTTTTTCTGAACTCGACAGTGTGAAACTGAAGTCCGTTTGAGGCTGCAGCGGATGTTCAACGACGGTACAGTGCAGTTCTGTCACCTTGCTGATAGCAACGAGTACCGTCGATGCAAGGACTCTTGACCTGACCTCTCGACGACTTCTATTCGAAGATTTCCGGGCATTTTCGCAGCTGGCGTGGCGAGTTCGTCACTGTTTTGAACTTCATCGGTCTCAGGCTTGACTTAGTTTTAGTAGTCATCTTACCTGCCTACTTATATCCGTGATGTTTTGTCTTCAGCGATGTAGCGAGTAGAGTGTCCTTCTCGCGTTCGGTGAGATTTGGGGCCCCCGATGGCTCCTTCACCTCAAAATGTGAGCACGGAAACTACTACCACTGTCAAAATATCCTGTTATCAACCGATATTAAACACACAATCAAAGATGTAAAGAGCATTCGTGTTTATTTGAAGCTTTGACTTCTGTTATTAAAAGTTAAACGAAAAAATGATTGAATTTGGAGGCCTTTAATTTGTTACTCACCGAAGAAATACAGCGAAAAGCAGACGCCGACGACGACTACTACGGCAGTTTTTCTTTTTTTTTTTGTTTACATCGCGTGATTCCTCTCCGCCAATCGTATTCGTCGCTCTTAGCGTTCCCTAGTTTGCTCTGTTTGTCCCTAGATTCCCTACGCAAATCCAGCGTTTAGCTAGGGGCGCGTCTGTAAAGCCGGCTTAACGTTGGTGCAACCGGAATTTAAACCCGTGCTTACCTAAGCTCGGTTTAGGGCGCTAAGCCGGCTTAGGAAAGCGCCGCTTTGGGTTAAGGTAAGCGGCGTTGGTGCAACCGGCCCTAAAACGTCGAGTTGGAACAACTTAGGAAAACACTTGTCGATGCAATAATAGTTAACTGCAATTAGAACTTCAAGGAACATTCCAATTCTTCGCTCGCAGTAACAAAGTGTTCGTATATTTCTCTTAAAGTTATTGGCACGGCGGAAAAAAAAAGTATCCTTGGTGGTCTGCAGCAAGCAGTTACTGGATAATATAATTCATGTACTAAAGGGCATCACTTTAGTGGCTACAACTGATGGTGGGTATTGGAAAAGGAGACAGGTGACGCTGTTTAAAAATCGTCAGAACCCCATTTTACGTAAAATGGTAAAAAAAAATGCAGGACAAGTCTGTTAGGTTAGAAAAGTTTGTCAAAAAATTCAATGAAGCTTTTAGGAACTGCCACTGTCACTGCATTTATGATATACATGTTTCACTGACCTTCTCGAGTCTTGTGGTCTGCTGCCATTAACCGAAATACTTTTACAAAGTCATAGTTGCGCGGAGCGATTTCTGTAGTGCTTTTGCTTCTCAATGGGATGGCCGTTCTTCCATTTATGACAGCTGAGGTTATTTTTACACTTTTACGGCGACTCTGGAATGTTCCAGTTTTATGTAGACAAATGTATATATTACCGTAGAATGGTCCCCATTGCCTGGCATGTATAGACCATACAAATAATCG